ATGAATCAAATTTTTTATATTTACCTCTATTAAATATTTTATAATAAATATAAAGTCACTATTAATAGAGGTATTTTAAAAAAAAAGGTAATGATTACACTTTGAAAAACTAAAAATGTCTTATATTTTTCAACATTCAATTTCTTAAAAAATGTTTTATATTTTTAAATGAAGAGAGTATATTAGATTGTGCATGTGTAGTCTCTAATAGGCCTAAATTCTATTTAAGCCCTCTTAAACCAATCGTGTTAAACATATAGAAAAGGTCTATTTTTCATTCTTGATAATAATATAGACTAGAAAGGAATAGAGTAGTCCAATAACAAAGGAGGTCCAATTCTTGAAAAGGTGAGTCATGGAAAGAAAAATTTGATTTCCTTTTCGTTTAATAAATATGGAGAACACGGATTTCACCTTAGATGAACTGAGATGAATCAATATGACATAGAAATTGGAAAACATAATAAAGCATTTCATGAATTTTGAACTGACATGAAGTATTCATGTCATTTATACTTCAAGAACATCTTCACAAAACATTTTTGGAATCGATGAAATAAAGATACTTCAATGTTCACGCACGCACGCACACATCAGCTTACGAAAATAAGATCCACAAGATATAAAATATAAATCAATTACGAAAGTGTGTGCGAGTGAGAGACCATTCTGGTCCATATAACAATATTACGTGCAATTTTTTTTTGAGTGAAAAGGAATTCATTAATCATGACGAAAGAAGGCAAAGGTCCAAATAAATCATAGGATCAATACAGAAAGAGACAAATGAGAGCAAGCAGAAAACAAAATTACAGCAGAGAACTGAAAAGAGCGAAAGCCTTTAAAGTATGGTCAACAATGATTCTAGCATAGCGTAATGTCTCTTCTGGAGTGAAAGTGTTGTCTATAAAGATACCATGATTGCGAGCTGTCCAGAGTTTTCAGCATAAAACACTAACACCAATCTTCCAGGAAATATCCATGCTCTTACTTGTTAGCAGATTTGTATGCCAATGATGTAGACTACTTCTATAGAAATCAGCACGCATATCATTTGGCAAGACTTTCTTCCAAACTCAAGTGGCTAATTTACAATCCTTGAAAATGTGATCAATAGATTCTTCTACAGTAGGACATAAAAGACAAGATAGATCAAGACTCATTCCTCTTCTATTTCGCTCAACATTTGTGAGAAGCTTGCCTTTTAATAATAGCTATAAGAAAGTTTTAATCCTCTGAGCCATTGGTAATTTCCAGATATATTTCTATTTCTCATCAGAATCATTCTAGTTGGTGTAGTTGGATGCTCTATAGAAGGATTTAATACTAAACTTGCCATTGGCAGTGAGTGTCCAGTTGTAGGGAGGGTCACTGCTATTTCCATTGATTTTAATTTGTGCAACATCACTGAGTATATGTGTAGGTAGGATCTGATCAAAAAGCTGCCATCTCCACTGATTCATATGATCCAAATAGTGAGAAATAGGTCTTGCAAGCTTAGAATCAGATAATGTTGTAAAGGCAAGAAGCTTTAATGGACCATAATCTCCCACCCAATAGTCTGACCAGAATTTAATATCTTTTCCATTCTGAGGATTCCATTTGATAAACATTAACATATCCTTCCAAATTTGTGAGATATTTCTCCAAAGGTAGGAGGAATTCCTTCAGTGAACTTCAAGCGGGGATTTTTCAAGAAGTCTGTACTTTCCCCTTAAGACACGTACCCATAATAAGGTTGGTTCAGAGACAATCTTATAAGCCAGCTTGGAGATGTAGGCCTTGTTTTGACTTTCCAGATTAAGTAAGCCACAGCCACCATTTGCTAAGGGCTGATAGAGGTCAGACCATTTAACGAGGCTAATTCCCTTGCGATCCTCAGTATGCCCCCAGATAAATTTCCTGATCACTTTCTCAATTGCCTTGCAAGTTGAAGTAGGCAAAAGAGAACTTTGCATTGTGAAGAGCAGGATAAAGTTAAGTATTGATTTTGCAAGAGTTATTCTACCAGCCAGAGAGAGGGAGTGACTCTTCCATCTAGAAAGTTTCTGATGTAATCTTTCTAGGATGTAATTATAGGTACAAGTAGTAACTCGGCCATTGATGAGGGGAACTCCCAAGTAGCGACCCAATGAATCAGTACTCTTGAAACCAAGTTTGTTATAGATAGAATTCCTCATATTTGAATGAACATTTATGGAAAAAATACTCGAGTTTTCGAGTAGCTGACTTTAAGTCCGAAGGAGATACTAAATTGCTGCAGTACTTTAGAAATGACCTCAACTTGATATTCTGAAGCCTCACTGAATAAAATTAAATCATCCGCAAAGAAGAGATGGGATAGTGGGATACCTTTTATTCCTAACCTGATTGTGCACCAGGTTCCTTTATCTACTTCCGTAACAATTGCTTGTGATAGTCTCTCCATGCAAAGGACAAAAATATAAGGGGATAGCGGGTCACCTTGCCTGATGCCTCTTATAGGAGTGAAGCTGTTTGTGGGTTTCCCATTCCATAGGATCTGCATAGTAGTAGGGGATATGCAGGACATAATTAGGCACATCAAGTGATTAGGAAATTTTGCATCATTTAATTAAGGTATCCTCTATGAAATCCCACCTTAATTTATCAAAAGCTTTTTCTAGATTAACTTTAATAGCCATCCACCTAATTTTCCTTGATTTTTTCCTCATCGAGTGAACAACCTCTTGGGCAATTATAATATTATCAACTATACTTCTATTCTTGATAAAGCTTGATTGAAAAGGAGCAATAATATCCAGAAGCACATTGCTAATACGATTAGCAATCAGTTTGGTTATGACCTTGTAGATCATAGTACACAAGCTAATAGGATGAAATTCCTTGAAGCACTTGGGGTTATCAATTTTTAGGATGAGGGCAATGAGAGTGCGGTTTAGTAAAGGGTCTGAAGGGCGATCCTGCCAAAGTTCTCTAACCAATGAAAATAAACTTGCACCTATAGTATCCCATTGAGTTTGAAAAAATAGGGCATGTAAACCATCAACACTAGGAGATGTCATTGGCTTCATGTCAAATAAGGCCCTTTTAACTTCCTCAAGAGTAATCATCTGACTTAAAGCATCAGTTGACAAGTCAGAGATTTGAGGGAACTTACTCGAGATATTGTATGGAGTGAAAATCTCATCATCTAGAGAGTACAATGTTTCAAAATAGCGAAGAGCCATGTTAGAGAGTTCTTGGTCATCTTCTACCTAGTCGCCCTGATGATTTTGTAAGCATGCTATACGATTTTTCCTTCTGCAGATTAGGGCTTTAGTATGGAAAAAAGAAGAATCTCACACGATAAAAGAGTTTGGCAACTTAATTTATTTATTTATATTCTTATGTACATTTTAAGTGTTAATAATAATTTTTTAGCATGTAGATACATGTTTTAAAAGAATTTTAATCATCATACCTGCAAAAGTCTTATTGACTTATACGATAATATGATTATCCTAAATATCTACGAAGATTCTAAAATCTCACACGATAAAGGAATTAAATTTAAACATGTCTTTAATTTAATTAATATAATATATAATTTATATATATATATATATATATTTTAAAAACTTAATCGTTATATCTGCAGAGTCTTATTGACTTATACGATAATACGATTATCTTAGAGGTCTATGGAGATTCAAAAATTTCACATGACTAAAAGATATAATTGGTGAATATAATTACCATTTAAATACATTAATTTGATTAATTAATTTTTTGAATTGTTTATTATATGATTATTTACGAACATCATTTATAAATTGAGAACCACTATATCTGCAAGTACTCATTATCCCACACGATAATGTGATTAATTTAAGTCCTTACGAAGATTCTTGAAATCTCACATGGGACTTAAATAAATTACTTAGATTAAAAAAAAAGGATAGTTAATTAAAACTATTGATTATACGTATAAATTGAATCTTTATTCCTGCAAAATCTTATTGATTTACACGAAATGAGACCACTTTAAATGTCTGCAGAAATTCTTAAAATCTCACATGACAAGTAAATGATTAGAGATAGATTTTCTCTTATTCATTTCATTTTTTCAATTGGGTAAGAATCGAATTCTCTCCCCTCTGCCTTTTATAAAATAGACTTGTCATAATAACTGAAATCGTACATGAAATCATGATGGAGAGTGCCATACAATATGAGTGTAGCAATATTATTGACAAGTAAAGGACCTTAGGTTTAATGAAGATAAAAAAATCATGCTCATGTATATTAATATACCCTTTCATGCTAAAAACACATTTAAAGACCTTGCTTAATAATTACACTAATTCTTTATTTGAAATGAGATTATGCCTAAAATCAAATTAAGCTTAGTTATAATAGTAAGCAAAAATTATTATTTGTAATCTCTTTATCCTTCTTTTTCACACACTCTTTTTTATAAAAAAATGACAATTACATTGATTTTCATTTGAGAACTAAAAATGTGTGGGACAGGTATTTAAACATGAAAAATAAATCTAAATCGAACGTGTGCCTTTCAAATTCAGAAGCAAGAAAGCAAGGCAAATCATACGCATAACATCCTGTTCACTCAATAATAAACCAGCGATCATTAAGAAAAAGAAGAAAGATGACTATACCGAATGATGTATTCCCCTCCTCTCTTCGTTTCTTCTTTCTCTCAGCCTTTGCTTTCTTTTCTGTGTTTTTCCGTCACCTCTGCTTTCTTGTTCAGTTTTGAGTTCTCTCCTTCACGTTTCGGTCTTGTTTTTTTTTCTGCCAGAACAGCTCCTTCTCCCTCAGCCTCTATTTCACATCTTTCGGTCTCTCTCTTTCTCCATTTTCACGTTCTTATTTCTCCTTCTCGGTCACTCTTCTCTTCTCTTCTCCTTCAATTTTTCGTGCTCTGTTTTCTATTTCTTCTGTCTGTCTGTTTCTCTCTTTTTTTCAGTCCAAAAAACTGTCCCCCCTCTATTTTTTCATTCGGTCTTATATAGGGGATGGAAGAGGTGAATCATTGCTCTCCTGCTCCGCTTTTCCTTTCTGCTGCGTTTTCTGTGTGCGCCGAAGTTTCTGCTCTGTTTTTTCTGTGCCATCTATTTTTCTGTGTTCCTATCTCTAGTTCTTCTTTTCCTGTGCTGTTCCATCTCCTTTCTTTGCTATGCCGTCTCTTGCGTGCGTGTGTGCGTCCTTGGTTCTGTTTCTTTTCTCCTGCTAGCCGAAAGCGTACGTGTTCCGATTGCTTGTTGTTCTTTTGCTCTGTTTTGCTTCTTCTGCGCCCAGCCGAAAGCGTACATGCATGTGTATTCTCCTTTTTGTGCTGCATGTGTATGATCTGCATGTCTTTTATTTCCCTTTCATGTGTGCTTGTTTCTATTTCTGTGTCTCTGTGCCTGCATTTGGTCTATCATCTTTGCTGTTTCTGCATTTCTGTTTCTGTCACAAAGCTGAAAGAGCTATGTGTGTGTGTACGGCAGTCTATTTCTTTTCTCATTTCCTCTCTCCAGCCTATCAACATGTACGTCCTGCTATCCCTTCTTCTTTTATTTTTTTTAACTTCAAGAATTAGATTAAAAGGAAGAAGAAAGAAAAGAGAAAAAAGAAATTAATTTTAAGTTAAACCAGAATATTTCTCTCTCTTTTTTTAAAAAAAAAACAGATTAAAGAGAGAAAGAAAAAGGTAACAAAAATTAACTCTCAAAAGTTGATTCTCGAATATTTTTGAATGATTGGGATAATTTGGGAGAGATTTTCTTTTTTTTCAAGATTTAACCTTTCTTTTTTTTTATTTTGTTAAATTATCATTATTATTATTTTTTGAAAATATAATCTTAAAAAGGGATTAAATTTCATTTTTGTATTATTATTTTTTTATATTTTTTTGATTTTATTATTAAATTTAAAAAAAATGTCCGAACAAAATACGATGTTCACAGTAGCCTTGTGTTTCTTAACCCAATAATGAAGCCTTTATCTGTCTTGTGTCTCTCCCTTTTGGCCAATATGTCTTCCCCTGTTTCTTCTCTTTGTTTTGATCTTTCCTACTTGTAAAGCTATCTCTTCATTGGGAAACGAGACTGACAACTTGTCCTTGCTCAAATTCAAGGAATCAATATATGACTATCTACACCATGTCTTGGACTCTTGGAATACTTCTAATCACTTCTGCAACTGGTACGGAGTCACTTGTGACCACAACCATCATAGAGTTACAGAGCTGTGGTTAAATGGATATGGCTTGCGTGGATCTATAACTCCACATATCGGTAATCTCTCCTTCGTAAGAGTCATTGTTCTTAACGACAATATGTTGTACAGAGAAATCCCACAAGAATTTGGTCATTTGTTTCGGCTGCAAACACTTTTCATTGGCAACAATACACTCGGTGGGACATTTGCTATCAACATCACAAGTTGCTCTGAACTCAGTAACTTATCATTTGGTGGACATAATCTTAGTGACAGGATACCGATGGAGATCGGCTATCTCCATAAGCTTGAAAGGTTACATCTAGTTAAAAACAACTTTAGTGGGCAAATCCCAATGTCTATGTGGAATCTTTCTTCCCGTACTCTTCTTCCAATTGGGGAAAATAACTTGAAGGAGAGTATGCCTGAAGAAATAGGCTTTCTACAAAAATTAAGAATTTTTTATATAAGCAGGAACAAGCTTTCTGGTGCAATTCCTTTTTGTCCATACAATTTTTCATCTCTTATTGTACTTGATGTTGAAGGTAATCAAATTAATGGTTCTCTCCCAGCCAACATGTTCATCAACCTCCCTAATCTCCAAGCGTTTTATATTACGTTAAATAAATTCTTAGGTCCTATCCCAACATCCATTGTAAATGCGACAACACTTGTGAAAATCTCTATAGGAGGAAATAACTTTGTAAGGAAAATTCCAAATCTTGGAAATTTGCACAACCTTTCAATTCTGGAGCTTGATAACAATAGTTTAGGAAGCAATTCATCTAAAGACTAAGAGTTTCTAAATTCATTGAGCAACTGTAGTAAGTTGAATTCGCTAGCATTGGTGTAAAATAGTTTTGGGGGCTAGTCACCAAATACCACAGGAATTTTGTCCACTTCAACTCAGAATGCCCGTGCTCACATAGAATCAAATATTTAAAAAATCCCTGTGGCTTTAGGAAATCTCATTAACTTGACGGTGCAAGTAATGGAGGCGAATTATTTCACTGGCGTCATCCCAATTACGTTCGGGAAGTTTCAAAAGATGCAATACTTTTCTATGTTTGAGAATGAATTTTTTGGAGAAATAACACAATAGGCAATCTCACTCGGCTATTTCACCTAGATTTGTCACATAATGAGTTAGAAGGCCAAGTTCCTCCACGTACTGGGAATTGTGAAAGCTTACAATTCCTTGGTTTGTCACAAAACAATTTTAGTAGAGCTATACCAGTCTAGATAATGAGTCTTTCATCTTTATCAATTTTACTAAACTTGTCATACAATTCTTTCAGTTGTGATCTCCCCAAGGAGGTAGGAAGGTTAAAAAATGTTGATCAATTGGTTGTCTCACACAATCGTCTGTCTGGAAATATTCCTTAATCCATCGAAGATTGCTAAAGCCTGGAGTATCTCTTGTTGCAAGGGAATTTCTTTCAAGAAACAATCCCCTTATCTTTGGCTTCATTAAAAGGTCTAAGATATCTAGGCTTGTCACAAAATAACTTGTCTGGATCAATTCCAAAAGGCATGCAAGATATCACTTCTTGGACGTACCTAAATGTTTCCTTCAACATGCTTGAAGGGGAGGTACCAAGCAAAGGTGTCTTTAGCAATGCGAGTGCAGTATCACTGATGGGGAATAAGAAGTTTCGTGGAGGCATTTCAATGGCAGGACTCCTAACTTGCCCTCTCAAATCTGTGGGAGAAAGAAAACATCCTAATTGCAAGATGATAGTATTAGTATGTAGTGTGACTGCATTTCTTCTTCTATTATCTATTGTTGCTATTTATCATCTGAGGAACAGAAGCAAGAAATCTTTAGATTCACCATCAATTGACATGCTTTCAAAATTATCATATCAAAAGTTACACAATGCTACTGATGGGTTCTCTATTTGATAGAATATAGGAGTGATGGCTTTGTATATAAAAGCCGATTGGAATCTGAAGAAGTTGCTATAAAGATAATCAACCTTCAAATCAGGTGAGCCCAGAAGAGCTTTGTAGTTGAATATAGTGTGTGTTTAGTTTTCAGTTTGCCAAAAGTTCATTGAATGAAAGTTCATTTGGTAGAAGTCAATTTAGTGAAGTCAGTTATTATAATGAAATTTGTATTTGAATACATTTTTTTAAAAGTCAATTTGATATACTAAAAGTTATTTGATTTTTCATAGTGAAATATGCTTTTAAATGTATAATTACTAAAAAAAATATTGATTTATGATGATTTGTAATTTTTATTATGTAAATATAACATATTTGAAATATTTAAAAAATGTGATAAAGATTTTAAATAATATAAATTTTGATCCATAATGCTAAAAATTTGATCTCTGGTTATTTATATTTTTTTAATTTGTAATTTTAGAAAATGTGATAAAAATTTTTAATTTTTATTATACATTAATGCTAAAAACTAACATAATTAATTATTCAATTTATAATGTTAAAAACTTGATACCTAATTATTATTATTGAAATAATAATTATATTTTTAATGAATTAACTATTTTTCAAAGAAAAGAATAAGAAATTTAATTTGAGGCAATACGGTCAAATAATATCTTACTATTCAAATTTACTTTCAAAAAATCAAATAGTTATATTTCAAAAATTTACTTTCAGTTATTATTTGAATGTACTTTCAGGATGTGCTTTCTTACAAAATATTTTATCCAAACAACTTTCAGTTTTTTGAAAGTAAAATTTTGCTTTCTAAATTTAAAAAATAAGAAAACCAAATGGATCCATAATGTACTTAAAAATACAAGGCATCGAAATTTGGTAAAGATTTTAAAATGTTACTCCAGTATTGATTACAAGAGACAAGAATTCAAAGCTTTAGTCTAAGAGTATATGGTGAATGGGAGCTTGGAAAAATGGTTGCATCCTAATCCTAATAACACAGAAAATGCAGAGTATGATCCAAGAAATTTACTCCTTGATCAAATACTGAATGTTCTCATTGATGTTTCTTCTGCTTTACACTATCTTCACTATGAATGTGAGCAACCTCTTGTTCATTTTGATATAAAGCCAAGTAATATCCTTCTTGATGGCAACATGGCTGATCATCTGAGTGATTTTGGAGTAACAAGACTACTCTCAATTGTTGAAGGCAATTCTAATAAGCAAAGTAACACAATTGGAATCGAGGGTACAGTTGGCTACGTTCCTCCAGGTACCATTTAATAATTTTTTGGCCTTGAAAACATGTAAGTTTTTTTTTTTGAAAAAGGCTTGTCCTTTTTTATTTATATTTATATTTGATGATTTTACATGAGAAATAACAAACTTATACTGTTTTAGAATATGGAATGGGTTTTGAGGTATCAAGACAAGGTGAAATGTACAGCTTTGGCATTCTTGTTTTAGAGATGTTGACGGATAGAAGACTCATGGAAGATATGTTTAAAGATGGTCAAAATATCCATGAATACGTGAAAAGGGCATTTCCTGATAAGCTTTTGCAAATTGTGAACCCTACTATTTTCTCTGGAAAATTAGAACATGTAGTGGCAGCATCACGAGAATCATCAGAGAGAACATATATAACAATGATCCATCCAAACGTAGAGAAATGCTTAATTTCTTTATTTAGGATTGGACTTGTTTGTTCAATGGAATCGCCACACGAAAGGATGAGTGGGATGGATGTCATCAAGGAACTAAGTCTAATCAGAAGAAGTTATTTTCCTTATAGAGAGAATAGTAGTAGAGGCTAAAAGATTGCATAATGAAGGATTGTCATTGTCCACGTGGCCGCCCCATAATCAGTTTGTGCGTGCTTTAGATGTTTCATCATTCATATGTTTATGCTTTTGTATTTCGTAATCTCCCTTACATTCAAACTTTTGGAGTTGCTTTAATTTGCTCAAGTTGTTTTTCCTAGTATATATTTATATTATATTGGCGTGGTATTGCAGAGTAATTCCATCTTTTCTTAAAGCACGATGATTTTTTTCTTCACAATTTAGGTTGTTGGAATTCATAGCATATCTTATGATTAATTTTGTTGGGGGACAGCCTTTATATCAGTTTATTCATATGGTTAAAAACTGTTTATGTCTATTGTGCATCTAAGATCGGCTTTTGGGAATCGTTAATAATTATAATTTTTATTGAAACATTTTATTAAAAAATGTAGAGTATCTCATATGCTTGAATTAATATAATGGAAATTCATTTAATAAAAAAATTATGTTTTTAATAGAAATTTTCTCCTCAATTTCTCACGCAACCAACGTGAACTGGTTCAAACAATAGTAGAAATGGGAGCAGCCTGCTATTGATTGAGGGAGCACCACGTTATGACAACAAAAGTTTGACATTCCTTGCCTCAAGTTATGAATTATGACTTTCACCAGCCTCAAGTTAATCTGCTGCAATCCTTGCCTATTTGCCATCCTATATATGTGCATTATTGTATACACTATTAGTCATGGAATGGTAATTATTTGATTTTTCACCTAAAATATCTACTTCTCTCTGTTACCGAAGAATCCTTTTTTTTTTTTGCGAGATTCCATCAACAGTTAAAAAAAAAAAAGATTAACAATATACTGCACCTCGGGAAGTATGGGGACCAATATACCGGGTGCATCTGCAGAACTCATTAGGGTAATGAGATGTGAACTACTTAGATTAATTTGGATAATTTAAATAGTCTAAATTTAAAATATTATTAAAATAAAATTATAAAAATTATAAATTTTTTCATAAATTCTAGGGAAAATTATTTATTTAATTTTTTAACTTTCAACTCAATTATAATTTAATTTTTCAAATTTAACTCGTCGTAAGTCAATTATTTAAGTTTGGTCCGTTTAAAACCTCCATCCTTGCCGTTAATAAATCAGACTAAATGTTGCTTATGTATATTAACTCTGTTAATTGTTACTTATGTGGCATCTATATCAAAGCCATCTTATATTTACGTGGCAACTAATTAAAAATAAAAATATTGAAATACAAAATCAAATATGAAAATATGAAGGAAAAAAACAAGGGTAAATTATAATGAGGTCCCACAGAAGAAATACCAGGTCTCACAAAATAGAGAAATTATTTTGCAACCGATTGGTCCTTTGGTGTGAATAATTTTGTAAGTAAAATTACTCATTTGCCCTAACTGAATCAAAAGGAAAGAATGAAGAAAGAGAAACCATTTTCACATAGTGGAGGTAACGAGTTGAGCTCTCACAATTGTCTTTGAAAAAGTGAGCCAATTAGGATCATTTTATAGCTAAAATGCAAGCCCACAGTTATCCTCCCATCCTATATTGCTGCATCTTTGATCTTCTAAGTGTGTTCGGTATTTGCGACTGCAGGAGTTCACTAAGGATGAAAAAACTAGCTTTGACCTTCAATTTTACCATTACGGTGACTGCGCCGAACAAGTTAAATGATGAGACCAGTTTACATGTGTTCTTTGCTAATCATTTAATTCAATCTTTTATTGTTTGTTGGTCGAATAAAACCATGTGTGTTGTCTCTTTCTCTCTCTATGAGTGTATTAGCTAGTGAGCAATCAGAGGCCTTGCATCTATAATGGTGTATTCGAGATCATAAGGCCACTTGGTTGAGTTAATAAATTTGTTATCAAATGGCAAGATATGTTGTTAATAGCCTAATCGTACGTTGTCCATATACTATGAGTAGTTGTCAATATATTCTATGTGATTTAGGTTGAGCTGATAAATCTATTATGAAATGACAAGATGTATTGTTAATATTCTAAGCATAAATTGTCAATATACTATGAATAGTTGTCAATATATTTTGTGTAATTCAGGTTGAGTAGATAAATCTATTATGAAATGGCAAGATGTGTTTTCAATAACTTAAACATAAGTTGTCAATATGCTACTTTAGTTTAATGCAAAGTAGAAGTAGTAGATAGTGATGCTTGCCTCTACTTCAATAAGTGGTGGCGCTAGCTATTTAGGCATATTGTGAAGAGTCATACTAGTGAGTATTGTTTTACTATCACATACTTTTCCTTCTTATTGTTCATTCATTCTAACATGCTTTTCTTACTTTGTAGACAAAGATTGAGGGCAATCTCTTGCATTGGTAGATTTCCTAAGGGGCAATATTGATGCTCTTGTTGCTTCTAAGATCGAGACGGTCCCTTCTATTAAGATCATAGTTAGAGAGATTGAACAAGATGATGAGGCCTCATCATGGGTCTCATCTTAAAGAAACCAAAGCTAAAGAGAAGCCAATCCCTTAGCCGAGTAAGTAAGGGGGAGGAAGTTGATAAAAGGAAAAAGGCCATGTCCCTTTCAATTGTGCTAGAGCCCAAGAAAAGGAAAAGGACATCATCCCCTTTGGTGGCCTCCAAGCAACCTCCTCTTCTACTTCCTTCGACCAAATCCAGTGTTAAAAGGGACGATCTCTCACAAAAATGTCCTCGCTAAGTAGTTTTGTCAAAAAATTCAGAGGATGGCAAAGCAAGCCCTTTTCTACTCGATGGGTTTAAAGGCTTAAGTTCTCTAGCAGCCCCTGTAGATCCTCAAGTAACTACCTCTACTATAGTCCCTAAGGTAACTCATGTTTAGAAGGTCAAACAGTCCCTGCCGAACATCAAGAGGTTGCAACTACCATGGCCTTAAGGGTGACTGGTGACTTGGAGGGTCTTTAAGGCTCTTGTTGAAGCTTAAGAGGTTACCTCCACTGTAGCCCCAGAGGCAATTCCTATTATTACTCTAAAGGGAGGTGCTGAGCCCTTGAATTATGAGATACCTATTATAGAGCAGTCTGGGCTTGTTGACGCTAGCATAGTAACTGTTGATCCCCCTATTCAAGGGTCTTCATCAGTCCTCTAGCCTTCGATCCTGGTATAGCTAGACCTAATAAGTCTAAGCTAACTACTCCTGCGAGGCAAGTTAAAAGGG